AACCAAAATTTCTGGAATGCATAGATAACCAAATTTTCGTACACTTGTTGCTCCGCTTTCAATAGATGGTCTGAATACCAGTTTCTCTATAAACTCTATGGATATTTTTTTCCGAAAGCATATTAGCTTTGTTGAGATTACTACAGTTCGCGTTTATGTAAGTATTGACCTGAAATGGAACCATCATGTAGAAGTTATAGTGCAAAAGGGAAACAGGAGGCTTTACTCTTTAAGGGTCCTTAAGCAATGTGATGCACCTCCAGCTTCACTGGCTAAGGTTTATACAACCATTGTTCGTCCTGTTCTAGAATATGCTGCCCCTGTCTGGCAAAATATACCAGATTTTCTACCTTATAAGATTGAGAGCATTCAGAAAAGGGCTATGCGAATCATTTTTCCTTTAATGAGTTACAACGAGGCATTAAATGCCCTTAATTTAACAGCTCTAAGTGACAGACGCGCCCATCTATGCCAGGTTTATATTGATAGACTCCGGAATGAGAATCACCCCTTGCATTTTATGCTCCCCAAACAGGAGGAGGTTGTGCATAATTATAATCTTAGATCTGGCATTAGCCACTCCACGCGTCCTGCCTGTAGGACCAAGCGCACGCAAGAGTTTGTCACGCATACGTATACCTAGTGGCTTGTACAATTATATTTTCTAGTATTTATTGGATTTATTGTACTATATTTTAGTATTATATGTTTTGTAAATAGCTCTGTAATTCAGCCATTCTGTATATTGCTGCGATGAGTCTTAATAAACAGTCATCATTATTTATTATTATTATTTGAAATGCCTCTTATTTATCAAGATGAAAGTCCCTTCTTGAACCCCTACAATTTAATAAACGTCCCGGGAGCGCCATTTCAAATTGGTAAACTCTAGAGGTCTCCGAAAAGAGAACTTTATCAGCCGATTATTACTACTCATTAGAATCCTCCTCGTCCTTGTTCGGTAGCGCTCGATACGATGTTTTATCATCAGTGTTTTCTCCCTGCCATTGGCAGGCAAGGAACAACAACATTACTAAGGCGAGAAAAGCAGCAAATAGTCTGTACGCTACACGAATTCCAGTTTTGCTGACCAGCAAACCGCCAAGCATGGTGCCAGACCCGTTACCAACACCTACAAACAGTCCATTCAGAATACCTGTAAAATGAGAAAAAACAAACAGATATCTGTTTTTATCATAAACTGTACGTACTCTCTGTCTTCTCATTGGCTAAGAGCGAACAGGCGTTTTTTTTTTAAATCAGCGCAACCTACAAAAATGTAGGTTGGGTCAGTTGGGTGGGCAGTGCATTATTTCTAACCACAGCGCAAAGTGTGTTCCGTGCGACGCTGTGCTTTCGTTATTTTCCTCAAAACAGTGTATAATAAACGATTAATAGATTCGGTTTTTGTGATATCCTTAATTATCAAGGTTTCAAAGTGTTATTATCATTATTCCGGATATCACAAAAACTAAATCCAATAACTGTTCAAAATTTCACGGAACAAAAACACGCTGCTAGAGAGACAAACAACACAGTGAAACCTTTTCAAAAATTGACTTTTCAAATGGTGAAATCTCGTTGTTTTTCTTGATTTTGTTGTTTAAAACCTCGCTTAGATTACAAATTCAAATATGAGAGAAAAAAAGAAGCCATCATGCAAATGACCTATAGCGACCTGCGCTTTAAATTTCGACGCATTCCCCGCCCCCTCAGCTAAATAAAAACAAGGGTTGTTTTTTAATTTACACCTGATTAACCAGTGGAGGTGGTCTAAGTACCCTGATCTATGAATTTTATTTTGAGGAAAACACGTAGAGAAATTATCTGCAACGAACAGCAGAATATTGAAGAGTAGAATCCTGTTAGAATTTTAAATATACTACACGTGCATAGATTAATTTTACTATAAGAGAAATAATTGGTAGTCACAACAGTGTGACTGTCCTGCACTCGGTCCTTAGGTATGGGTTTCATTGCCTAATTTCAAACCGAGGATGACGACAGGGTACTAGACCGTGTATTATGGGGTAAAAAACACGGGACCCACATAGTCAGGAAAAGCACATTGAGGAAAGGAAAATTCTCAAGTTTGGTGTTAACAGCCGATATTGATCAAGACACACCTATTAAAACACTTACCAAGAGATGTACGGATTGCCGGACGTCCATATTTCTTGATAAATTTTGTAATTTTTGAATGGCTGTATCTCGTTCATATAGGCCTGACAAACACAAAACATGAGGATTTTGCAAATCTCCGGAGTTTTCGTATTTGTGATTTTGTCGATCTCTAGTGGTTTATCCCACTATAATAAACAGACTCTTATCCTGCCTCCCTCGGTTTGAAATCAGGCAATTGCATTCTTCAGCTATACTGCGTTGTCTTTACCTTGTGCTGCTGCTCCTAAACCAATAGCAGTCGAGATTGATCCTACGTACGCTACACACGCCGTCCACGTGACTGCAAATACTCCACCGATTACTGCAAAGAGGGCAAGAGCCACCCATGGGCTATGGGTGAAAGAGTAGCATATGAACACTACACAGTAACAGGCCATCCCGACAGCGATGGTTTTGAAATATCCAAACATTTCCAGGAAATAGTTCGCCGCGAAGTAACACAGGGCGCTTGTGGTGAAATGCAAGGCTGCTGCCAACCCTACCTGGAAGGATAGAACGAAAAATTGGATAAACACATTGGAAAAGATTTTGTCTCACGTGCCATGCATGAGGATGTGAAAATCATCATCTTTTGAGGAAAACCTGAATTTTATGCGCCTCTTAGATGACATCAGGAGCTCATAATGGGCTTCTGGTGTTTGTTCAACTTAGTTTAAGTTCCCACCCGGGGGAGCACTCAACAAATTTTTATACGGGGAGGCTCTGCCCCGAGGTCCAACCCCTTACCCTTTTATATACCATTTTTCACGAAAAAGGTGCCCCTTATACCTTCTATTGAAAAATGGTTTCCCTTTCACATACCTTGTTTAAAAAGGGATGCAAAGAAAAAAAACTGCTGTAAATGCATGGTCTTTTAAATAGGAACCAGTCTCCAAACAAAACCCGTTTTCTCGACTTTATAAAGCCATAAAATTCATCTGTTAGCCCTTTTAGGCCCTTTCACAGACCCAAATGACAGATTTTCCCACCCTTTCATATACTTCTGCGAGTAAAATTCCTACCCTTTCGTATTCATGCAGCCTGAAAAAGGTACCCCTTTCGGGTAGAGCCTCCCGGTATAGGCCATAATAGGGAGTACCCCCCGGGGGTTCCCCCTCGATTTTCTTTTATACTGAAATTTAGGTGTGTTTTTCATTTGTCAAATCCGTAATCTCACGAGGAGGGAGGCGTAATAAGTTAGCAGGGATTTAGAAAGGGGAAAATTCAGGTGCGCGAGGCTCGAAGGACGCGCGAGCACGTGCGCGCACGCGAGAGCGATATACCAAAAGGGAACCATCTTGCCCATCGCGTTTAAGCATAACCAACTTTCTCCCCTTCCTTTCGAACACCTTTCACGCCTGCCTTGCGCGCCTGCCACGCCGGCTAGAGCATGTTTAAACTAATTGCCTTTACCCTGATGAAAACTTTGTTTGGAAGGTTACTTTTAAAGAACGTTAAAGAATTTAACTTACACTGAAAATTAAAAAGATCTGTTTCAGCCCTGCTGGCCAAAGTCTAATTCAGTCCTTCCTGGAGCCATTTGAACACAATTTAGGCCAAAAAAGCTCAATCAAAAGGTTATTCCAGCCCACGGTAGGGCCCATTTCAGCCCTGGGGTCAAATCAGCCCTAGCTAATTGGACTGTATTGGCCCTGATTTAAGGAAGCCAAATTAGACTCAAAAATAGGACTGTATTTTACTCACCGAAACGGCCCTATTTTTAGGGCTGAAACAGATCTTTCTGATTTAGAGTGTACTTTAATGTACGCTCTCAGTGATAACTAAATCACTACACAGACACCATTTGAAGCAGGCACCGGTTAACCTATATTGTTTACATTTAACGACATTCTGCACTATCACAATTCATTACCTGAAAAGATGTTGCGTTAAGTTCATCAAGAAACCACGAATTGAAGTCGCCTTGAAATCCATCGCTCATTCCAAAAGCAATCGCCACAAACCAGAAAGAGAGTTTAAGGCGAGAATTGAACACCTCTTTGATATCTCTTAGCGACTGTTTTGGTGTCTCAGAATACACGATTTTAACGAAAAAAAGAAGAAGGATCGTTACCCCCATGAAAGCAGCAAATAGGTAAAAAGCAGTTGCATAGTCCTTACGAGTCTGCCCGCAGTAGTGGTAAACGTAATGATTGATTAAAAGGCCGGCCATCAAGTTGGCTATGACCATTCCCACGGAACCCCACAGACGAATCCGCCCGTATGATTTCCTCTCATCACCCAGGTAATCGACGGCGCATCCATCTAAAAGAGGGTGAACTATGGAACCGAACAGCTCGCCCACGAGCACGAGCGCCAGAAAAATATAGAATATACGCGCGAGTTCATCGTTATCCACTTGCACAAAGTATTTGTATTTGTTATGAGAGATGCTTGTGGCTGTTGAAATTGACGGTATAGCTATATCCTTCGACAGCGCGACCGCATACAGCGACTGAGATTGATTTCCAGGTGATAAAGGCTTTGCAACGCAAACTTCATGACTCGGCCGAATGGCTAGAATCAACAGGTTCTTGATCAGCCAAGCAGTTGAACCGAGAAGCAGGACCAGTTTCCGAGCTTTGTATTTATCAGCGAGGATTCCCCAAAAGGGTGCCCCGATCGCTTGACACAAAGGACGAAGACCAATAAGGATTCCGGTCTGCGAGGCTGATAAGCCCAGCTGTTTAAAATACAGCGGGATGAAAGTATACAAGCAGGCGTATGCAGCATAACAAGCAAAGAATAAGACTTTATAGTTGAGCCGTTCAGGCGTGCATGCATTAATTCCACGTAATCTTTGAAGAAAATTTTGTTTTCCACGATCAGTTTCCCCAGAGCGTTTTCTTTCGAGTTGTTTCTCCTCCATTTCTCATGCAGTCTCTGTTTCTTCCTTGGCGATTAGCAGATAAATGGTTCAGTTTCTCGCCATCGTGTACATGTATCGACTTAATACCGTGGGCTGAAAGAAATGAAATTGAAAAGATTATGCAAATTTCAAACGCGAGTTGAGTGCTTATAAAAGAGTGAATATTAATACAGCTTGATGTGTATTGAAATTGACAAAAATTTCCGTTCAATGAATCAATCAGGCAACAGTCAAAATAAACAAACATTAGACTACCGATCGAAGTTTGAACCTTTGAAAGTGAACCTCTGTTTGCCTTGCCGAGAGTAAACACTGAAATGCATATTTAATATGTTTTTAAAAATACATGAAACATTTGCTCTTTTTAAAGACATGCATACTGATGAGACTTTTTTCGGGTTGGGTCTGTGGTGTATCCTCATTGACAGCTTGTGTGCAAGATAAAGTTTGCTGCACAATTTTAGACGAGAAAACAGCAATCTCGAATAACGAACATAAATACATACATACATACTTTATTTAATTACAGTCATGTAGCAGCTCTCCTAACTCTAAGAGCCAATTGGTTCGATACCCTAACCGTGAAACAGTGGGAAATAATGATAAACAACGATGTGTTATTGTTTTCTACGAACAATTAATGAGGAAACACCTTACGAGCAGCTCCTACTTTACTGGGGTTTTATTTATACACCTTAGTATTACAATAAAAAAATGGTAAAGTAATATCCCTTTTACATGATTGCCGTGTGGGAGCCTGACTGATTGTTGTTGTAATGTCAGTGAATTTCCCCTTTAAAGCGTCTAAGAGAGTCCAATTTCCTTAAGCTGAGGGGCAAGCTATTCCACAGGACCGCACCGCTGTAGCCAAAGCTACGTTTTCGATAGTTTGTGCAAGGTTTGGGCAAGTCTGGTTTTATCTCGGAATCTCTTAGGTTATACATCGTACTGCGGATGTTAAATAAATCCTGCAGGTACACGGGTGAAAGCCCCTGCTCGTCGGAAGTTTTGAATTAAAACCCTAAAGGAGACCAATCAGGGCGTGGCCCAACCTTTTTTGACCCCTAAAAGCGATCATTTTAAACTTTGATTACATGAATCGAGTAAATAAAACGAATTGAAGATATATAATTTTTTAATATCTCTTCGAGTCTAACCCTAAAAGATACCTTTACGGCTAAATGTAATGGTGTTTTGCCCAGAACACCCTAAGCGAGACCAAAATCTGAAATTTACACCCGTAAGCGAGACGACGAGCATCCCCGCCCCTTTCATATGGGAGTTCCCCCAGGGGAAAGCTCATTTATTGTTTTAATCATTAATATGGCCTTTAGCTTCTTTCGACGTATGGTAAGATTGTCCCAGTGAAGCCTATTTAGAAGGAAACTAGCGCTTGCATCGTAACCGGACCTAGTAATGACTCTGGCAGCCCTATTTTAGAGTTTTTGCAGCTTGTCACTCAAGACGACGCTGAGTCCATCCCAAACGGAGCTACAGTAGTCAAAGTGGGGTAAAATTAACTCTTGGCATATTTGGAGAGCTGTTCTTTCGGAAGTGAATGGTCTTACGCGTTTAGGGGTGCCTATGGCTGAAGATATCTTCATACTTTTATCGTCTATATGTTTTGACCATGAAAGGTGTTCCTCAATTAGCAAACCCAGAAATTTGGCTGCATCAACTCTTTGGATCGGTTACGGTCGATCTCGATATTAATCTGATTATTCGAAAGAGCATACATTCGTTGATTTGACCCAATTACCATAAATTCAGTTTTGGCGACTGCTTATAGTTAATTGGATATCAGACGGCGATTGAGGTTTCATAACTCTAAATTTATGACATTTCCAAGGTCAGCCGTTGTACTGGCAGCAAAGGATATCTTAGTGTCATCGGCGAACAATCTTGGATAGGCTAGATTGAGGAAATTAGGCAGATCGTTAATATAAACTAGGCGGAATAAGAAGGGTCCACGATTACTTCCCTGTGGAACTCCACAGGACACTGGGACAATATTTGACAAGTGGCCATTAATACTGCATTTTTGGCTTCGGTCGCTGTGATTCAAACCATTTGAGGCTAATCTTATCAACACTATATTTTTAAAACTTCCGTATAAGAACATTATGGTCAATGGTGTCAAAGGCTTTTTTTAAGGTCGATAAAAATTACACCAATAACAAGGCCATTGCCAATTTTGACGGCGGACCATGCAGCTATTCGTGGCTTCGACCAACGCAGTAAGTGTACTGTGTAATGAGTAGAATCCAGATCGGCAATGGGTTAGTATGTTGTTTTCATTAAGATACTCACAAAGCTGGTCGTATATAATTTTTTTAGAGACTCCCGGTTTTCAATGAAACATTTTCGCTTTGCCTTCTCAGTTTCGTTATCAGTCTGGTTCCGGGCTAGTCTATATTGGTTCCATGTCAAACGGTCGCATTCCATAACTGCTTTCAAGAAATCTCATTTACGCATTCCATTGCGTAACTGGTTATAGTAATCCTAAGGGACTTTTTGTTGCCAACCCACTTGGATTTATGTGGTGAATGTTTGTCGATAGATTTAACATACCCTTAATTCCACTAACAAAGCTGGACGTATATAATTTTTCAGAGACTCCCGGTTTTCAGTGAAATATTTTCGCTTTGCCTTCTTAATTTCGTCATTAGTCTGGTTCCGGGCTAGTATATATTGGTCCCATGTCAAACGGTCGCATTCCATAACTGCTTCCAAGAAATCTCATTTACGCATTTCAATGCGTAACTGGTTATAGTAATCCATGGGCACATGTTGTTGCCAACCCACTTGGATTTAAGTGGTGAATCTTTGTCGATGGATTCCATTAGCATACCCTTAATTCCATGTTGACCACATCTCCTTTGGATCGTCAAGTGTATATATATTTGGCCATGCCTTTTGCTGTATGTCCCTTAGGAAGTTTGCTTTATGGAAATTTATCATTTGACGGGTTTTGATTATCCTAGAACCCGTACGCTGATAATGGGCCTTATGTGGAATATAAATAAGTGCTTGGTCACTAATTTGAAGTTGCACAACGCCACACTTAGCAATCTTTAAAGGGGAATTTGTAATGAATTTAGAGTGATTCTTGTGGGCTCTGTGATTAGCTGATTTAGGTCATAAATAACAAGTATACGTTTCAATTTAACAGCGTTAGATACTGTCGTATGTGGCAATAGATCAACGTTAATATCACCCAAGAGGAAAAAAATCCCAGTTAGCTGCGTCAATTTTACGAACTAATTCCTCAAATTCGTTAAAAAGACTCACAAGGAAGTCAGGAGGTCTATACCACGTACTCATTAGAAATGGTTAGTTTTGACTAACTAGAAATGGTCTTGACATCGTTAACGCCAGAGGGAGCGAACTAACCATTATTATAATTAGGTTAACCCTACTCGCCTATAAATTCACTTTTACCCGAGGTTTTTAGACCACAGAGAAAAGTGAAAAAACAGGACATTTTTTTCTGTAAGTCTGTCAACATTAAAAAGATTGTTTTCAAGAGCTTTGAAGAAAGTCTGTGCAAATAGAACCGTGCAACCTTTCAGCTACGGAGATATAAACTCGTTACCCTCAAATCCAGGCCCCAGAAGTAACAATTAGCAATTATTGAATGAGGCTCTTTATGCGATGTTTTTAGGCAGAAGTTCAGTTATCTATTTCTTCGCAAAACATGTGAAAATTTCCCCCATTTTCACTAACTCTACTACATGGTTCGTATAACTTCAGAAAAATCAAGTACTTTTCAAGGATTTTTCAAGGACAAATTACAGTTTTCATGCAAGGACTACGATTTATTCAATAAATAGGCATTATTTAACCCTCTTTTGAACACCTTATTGGCTAAAAACGTTATGGAGTCATTTACGATTTGTAACTTCTTCAGCCATGGTTGATCACATTATTTAATTTACAACTTTCCACAACAAGACTTTGCAAAATGACCGGGTATGACTTGCAATTGCATCTGAGGTACAGAAAAAGCATTTGAAATAAAGAAACAGAAATAAAATATTGTTCATGCACAAAAATGTTTTCACGTTACCCGTGAGTTTTATAAGTTCTTACACCGAGAATGAGCCAGGTTTTCCTCGGCAAAATAATCTACGTTTACAGAAAACGGGTGTCTGGCTTAGACAGGGTAGTAAATTTGAAGGACTTTTCAAGACCTATTAAAAAAATCAAGTGCTTTTCAAGAACCTTAACAGAATCCAAGGACGTTTCAAGACAACTACTAAAATTCAAGACCTTTTCAAGATTGTACGAACCATGCTACCAAAGAATCCCATACCAAAACAACCGAGCTAACTCAGCCATGTCCCCAGGGCTTCTCGGTTGAAATCCCTTTTCCTGGTAACAGCTTGTGCTACTGACGCCATTTAACAGAATATTGCAAATGTCTTCCAAATTTAGTCAACGCCAGCTGGCTAATTAGCCCGGGGATTTAAGCTAATGTAGAAATTGAGAAATATTTTATTTATAAAATTGCCAATAATCCCTAGAGAGAACAAGCTGACGCCTAAAAAAGGTCATGACTGAAGCTTGAATAGCGGCAAACAATTATCGTCAGAAAACACTTTTTTTAACTGATCGCACGATAGACATTAAGGCGCTATTATAATCATTTCCCATCAAGCTGACGCTTCATGCAATGTGCTGAACTTTTCTGATAACCTTAATACAATATACGGACTATCAGTTCTAATCTAGAAAATTCAATAAAAAAATATTATAAAGTAGCTGCGCCATGATATTCAGTGAATTTCAGCCACTGGGCCCAGCTTGCCATTTAATTAAGCAAACACAAAAATGAATTATAACCGTATAAAACAAAAAAGAAGGTTTAAATAAAACAGTACATACAAAAAAAGGTAGAATGGACGTACAAAACGGAAGAACTTACGGAATCCAACTCAGTTGAGGTGTTCAGCCTAAAAGCTTTTTGAATTTTTTTCTGCTGTATGCAACCATATTATTTTGTTTGTTCCAAAGCTGTGATTTTGGCACTTACAAGCCATCAGTAAGTAATTGGAAAACTAAACAAAGCTGAACCTGTTATGACAGAACTCCGTTAAGGTAATCCGCAAATGATTAGCTTCGCACGAAAGTTATTAAAAGTAAATTAATTTTTTAAAATTTAAATTTAAGAGCATATTAAATTAATCTCGCAGTATTAAAGCAGCTCGAGAGGACCGATTGAAAGCACGACGTGGCAAAGCTTTGGACGCCGTTTTAAGTTCTTACCTTCCCCGAGGCAAAGTAAGTGATGATTTACTGTCATTTTACGCGAATAATTCAACCCTTTACTCGGACGAGACCAGAGGTTAGGAGACATCAGTTATTGTAAAAAAGTGAGTTCAGTGGAACCTCGATATAACGAATCTCTATATAACTTAGTCCTCGGTATAACGAAGAATTTTCTTGACCCCAGTAATAGTAAAATGTATGAAAAAGAACCTCTATATAGAAACAAACTTTGCCAGTCCTCTGGCCCTTCGTTAAATCGAGCTTCTACTGTACTAACTTTTGAGGTGGTAAAAAAAAAATTATGGAGTCACCGTTCAAATGAAAGTTACTCAGCACTTCTTTCTAGTAGGCTCTACATCATTGGTTGTAAATTTTCCTCCGAAGCACAGAATACCATTATCCCGGACCATTGCGATAAAAAATAACGAGCAGCACTTTTCTGTTAACCTTTTTGTTACTCTGGACGAACGATAAAGTCTATGGATGGAATGTATCGCCATTCAAACACATCCTCTTCAGCTGTACTTGGCTAATGTTTTAGCATGTAGCTTTAGCTTGAAATCCTAAAGGATTGCTATTCAATCCGGTAAAGGCTGTCGAGCAGTTCTTTTCTGGGTTTTCTAAAGTTTCTGTCTACTATGCGGTACAAGGTGACCCTATGTTTGTCGGTGGACGAAATCCTACGGTGTAACCATTCAAATGAAATCTCTTCAGCAGTACTTTCACATGGGACCATTTATTTAGTATGTAGTTCTAACTTTTGAGTCTGTGGATGAAATCCTATGGTGTTACCGTTCAAATGAAACCTCTTCAGAAGTACTTTCACATGGTACTATTTATTGAGTATGTAGTTCTAACTTTTGAGTATGTGGATGAAATCCTATGGTGTTGCCCTTCAAATAAAACCTCTTCAGCAGTACTTTCACATGGTACTATTTATTTAGTATGTAGTTCTAACTTTTGAGTCTGTGGATGAAATCCTATGGTGTTACCGTTCAAATGAAACCTCTTCAGAAGTACTTTCACATGGTACCATTTGTTTAGTATGTAGTTCTAACTTTTGTGTCTGTGGATGAAATCCTAAGGTACTAACTATGGTATAACCATTCAAGTCAAACCTCTTTGTCAGTCCCTTTCTCATTACCTATTGTCTATCTGCCTCGCGATTCGTGGTGCAAAATGCCTAGATGTCAAAATTCTTAGATTTTTTACCTTAATTGTTCAATGTCTATGCTAATGTAACTGAAACATTTACTTGAATAACTACCTTAAAGTTCCGACAATTAGCCTCTCCCTTCCCTCTTTAAATGATAAGCCCTTGTGGGCTTATTTT